AAAGCCAGCTTACTACTTAGGGATAATCTCTTCATTTTATATTTGGCCTTTATGCTTCTTTTGACATACTTAAAATATTTTAATATTTTATGGAATAGTTGTAAATGTTTTTGTGGGTAGTAGATACCTAGTACACCATGTGTCCTACAAGAAATGATTTTTATTTTACTTTCAACTCTGTCTCCTGCTGGTCCTGTTGTCTCTTTGGATTAGGTATAGTACAGGTACTGACATGAAGCATCTCTGAATCTTGGTTTTGATATGGTGGGTATTCAAGGAATTAATCACAAAGGAAAGGTCTGTAATTCTATATAACATATGTAAAAAAGCTAACCCAAATTAAAAGATAAATTTGAAAATTCAGAAAAATATTTTCAAACTTGAGTTAGCTACAGGATAAGTATATGTGTTTATTTTTATTTTTTCTACTTTGTATTTTCACTTGAATAGTCCAGGAATTTTCACTTATTTTATTTAGGATTTTCATTTTTTTTCGAATTCCAATCAGAAGCTAATATAATTGTAAACTGGTAAGTGCTAGTTTTACTCCAAAGGAATAGGATTATTCAAATTGACTGTAATAAAAATGTTTAACCCTTAGGAATAGATTTTATTGATTTAAAAGAAAAGAGTAAAACAATCTATATAGTAGTTTCTCCTTATGTTCATTGCACAAAGTGAGTTCTGCTTTTAGAACTTTGACACAGGCTATTTTTAAATTTAACTTTTTTTTGGTACCAGGAATCAAACTCACACCCTCATGCTTGCTAAGCAGGTGCTGTGTCACTGAGCTATATCCTCAGCCCCTAAATTTAACTTTTTAATAACGTTTTTTCCTATTCCAAAAACCCTTAATTCTTTTTTGGACAGTGTAAAAATCAGAATTTCAGAATAATTGATTGGAATTATTTTCTTTATAGTTAAAGTCTCTTTAACACCAAAACCAAAATAAAAATCAAAAAATAGAGTCCTCTACTTATTGTGATTTCTGTAGCTGTGGATGGATTTCTTAATTTTGTAGCTACTTTTCCCTTCTTTAATGTGTAGAAATGCACCCACACTCAGCACAATACTTTTATTGGTATAAGATAGCAACTTGGGGAAAGCAGTCTGGAAAAAAAGTACGTATGTTTATATATCAAGAAAATAAACATGGCCCTATGAGGCAAAAATGCATACAGCGAGATGCTTTTTTCATTTAAGATTATTTTCCCATGATTATAATTTCTTTTTTAAACAATGATTTCTGGTCATTAGAATGAATCTGATAGGTTTTGAACAGTGATGATTAGAGCAAAGCTATTAAGATGTTTAAAATGTTATTTTTACCTGTTGCATTCACTTTTCATTATCCAGATACTGGTAATAGATACCAAAGAAGCAAACGGCATCACAAATGGGAAGACCATCCATAATGAGTGCCACCTTGTACATTCAGATACATTGAGGCATTTCAGTGTACAATATAGTTCTTTCATTTCACATTTTTAGTAAAATGCTGATGCAGTACAACAAATACACAAATTGTCCTTTAAACAGTACATGCAGAAGACAGCTAATTTTTTTTAAGTTCTAAGATACCTGGTGTAAAAGAAAATCCAGAATAAACAGGTTTTAAATTGCATAGCATTCTGTGGATTCTTCCATTTTCTTTAAGCTGTGAAAGAATAGAGCAGTAAGAAAATAAGAGACAACATTACTGCTGCATTCTCTGATCTTCCCAATTGCTGGTCTGTGACTACTCTAGCATAGAATGGTAAGGCAGTCCTCTGTGGTATGGTGCCTACTACCTAGTGAGGGAGCTGCTCCTGTGCCAGGTCAGGCAGATGCCACATAACTGAAAGATGGTAGCTTTGGCTTTCGGAGCCTGCAAGTGCTATCTACCAATGAAGAAACTTGGTTGGGTTTCTTTATGACAGTCCAATCTTGGCCTTGGAGCTTAGTATGTGTGATGAAACTCAGATTTGACCTGAACAGGCTAAAAGGCTCATCAGACTAATGTGCAAATATGTACAAAAACTCCTAGAAAAGTCTGTATTTCAGAAACAAATCAGTTATAAAATAATTAGTGTTGGTTAACAAAATATAGAAAATTATTCTAGAAAAGAATTGTAAATTAAAATAAGATAATATTCCTTATGTACTAGCTTAGAAAATTTTTAAAAACTAATGGCTAATGTGGGCAAGATCAAGAGTTGAGGAACTAGATGCTCTGGTGTATAGTACTGGGAATACACATTAATGGCAGTATTTCTAAGAGTAACCTGACAGGTAATGTTAGGCATTACAATTGAATATAGTATCTGACTTTCAATTAGATTTTAGTCTTAGGGAGTCATTCTATATTAAACAGAAAAAATTTTCATTGCGGAGTTCTTTATAATAGTAACATTTTAGAATAGCTTAAATATATACTTTCTTTAGAGGATTAAATGCTCAGCTATAAGAGAAGGATTAATTCACTTGTCCTATCTGTATGAAAAGAGGAGAGGCAAACTGACCTGCAAGCAGCATCTTGTGTATAATTTGGCTTCTAGGACACTTTTTCTTCTTGGTTTTTATCTTTTCAGATTGACTTTTCCTCTATCTCCTTTTCTTACTCATTTTCATATCCCTAGCCTCTGTAGAGTATTGCAAGGCTCAATTTTTACTCTTTGAATCTTTATAATCTTTTTCTTTTCATCAATGATTTCCAGGCAAATGGCTTAGAGTAATAGCTGTCTTCTAATGACTCCTAAATTTGTATCTTCTGCAGAGGCTTGTCTTCTGAACTCTAGACTTGAATCATACATGCTTATCTCACACTCTGCATGTATAGAACTACATTTCTTATGCTGATGCTTTTCAGTTGCTTGTGGGAGCGCCTCAGCATTGTCCGTGATTTCTGTTGGTACCTTCTACCTTGTTTCTGTGCTAATCCCTGGCTCAAGTCTTTCTGAATGTAAAGTTGGTTCTGTAGTATGTTCAATCCTGAACAATTTTTTTTATTTTTTATTTTAAAAATAGGATAGAGATGATACAGAATTTTAAGAAAAACTAAGAAATGAACAGTAGTTAATACATATTGTTATCTTAGAAGTAGTTGTTCAGATTAAAAGATTTAGGTATAAAAAATTGGATCAGACAATCAAACAGGGAAAGCACAAACTGTTGTTCAGTGATCACTTCATTTAGACAGAGTCCCTTTCTAAACCCCTCAAAAACTCTGAAACAAATAAAATGAATTCAGAATATAAATTGAATTGTATATAAGGACAAAGCCATAGATAATTCTAACTAATCTAGCATGGGCTCTGATGTCATCAAAATTATCATTTTTAAAATTTTTATTTATTTTTTATTTAAAGAGAATAAAACCAAGCAAAATAAAACAGAACAAAACCAATCAAAACAAATCAGTATAAGTGACACAAGATTTCAAAACAATGCAAAACCTCTGAATAGATGATCAGAATACCAGTCCTAGACCTGCAAAGTCAGTAAAACACCAAACACCAAAAGCATCAAATTGCATTTCACCTCAATAGCTGTCATCACAGCCTGTGTTTCTCCAGATCAGCAGGTTGTTTAGGGCGGGATGAGGGCGGGGAGGAGTTGGCTCTTGTTTCCCAGCTCACGTGCTGGGAGGGGCTGTTGTTTGGCTGTACCCCTGGCAGTGGTGGACCACACATGGTGCTGGTTCACAGGGAAGGCTTGATTCTTGCTGACTACTTCTCTTCCCCTGCAATCCGCAGATGGCGCTGACTTGGGAAAAGTCGAGGGTCTGCCCTCCCTGCCCCCTGCAGTGGTAGTGGCCCAGCACTGAACAATTTTAACCAGTTCCATAGTTTACTGTAACAGACTTTAAGCTCTCCATTTTTATCTGTTCTTAAAGAAGCACCAGAATTGTGTTTCTCAGCTGGGTCCATTTGGCCTCCCAGGAAACATTTAAAAATATCTGGAGGTTATTCTTGGTTTTAACAAAGTGTGTGTTGTGTACATGCCTGTTACTGGCATTGAGTGTGTAGAGGCCTAGAATGCTGCTAAACATCCTGACGTATATAAGACAGCATCACTCCCATCTCTTGGCCCCTAAAATACAAAAGTAAAGTAACAACAACAACAAAAACTGTCCCCACTTTCTAGTGACATTGTTAAGAAATGTTGTGTTTGGATATTTTTAAAACGAGTCATGTCACATTACTTATCAGTTGCTCTGAGTCTCGTTCCAAGTAAAAACCAAAATGCTTACAATAGCTTGTAAGACCCTATGGAACCTGGTGCTCTTTGACTTCTGGGAGTCACACCTATTTTTGTTGCAGCCATCCTGACCTTCAAACACTGGACATTATCCCACTCACTGGAGACCTGTGCACTGGCAGTTCTCAGTGCCTAGAGTGCTCCCCTCCAAAGCCTTTGATTCTGGATCTCGCTCATTGGGCTTTCCTAACCAGTGGCACTCATCTCTCCTCCTCTTGGCATTTCCAAGCCACATTGTATTTCCCCTTCCCCTTTGCTAGAGCACTCTACTTTTCTAAAATATGAATATTTATTTATATCATGTACAATACATATTTATTTGTATCATGTCTATTACATATCTCCTTTCCACCACTGTGAGAATGTAAGCCATGAAAAGGAAGGGGATTATTTTTAAACTGCTTGTATCTCAAAGACCTAAAGCAATGCAAACACACATTTGTAAATATTATTACAGATAGATACTGTGTGATCTTTGTTGTATTAAGGATAACTTTTATTTGTTTTGTTCCAATAAGACTTTGGATAACTCTAATGTCTTTATACTTTTCTAAAAAGTTTCCCATACTAATGTGATACATAGTCAAATAGCAAAATGTTATAAATTTTGTCTTTTATTAGTGAATTTAAGCATTTCCTTTTGCCTTTCAAATTGTCAAATGTTAGGGACTTTTAAAGTGTGAATGAATCTGTTAGCATGTTTTGCTATTGATAGATGACAGATTAAACTTTTTTTTTTTTTTTTTTTTTTACTTTTAAAGGACTATGATTTAATCTCCAAAGAACCGAAGCCTTTTGCATTTGATGGGAAAGTACGCGGCCCCATCGTTGTTCCCACAGCTGGAGAGGAAGCGTCTGGGAGTGTGGGCAGTGTCAGAACAGGATTGGCAAGGAAGGACAAAGTACCTCCCACCAGAGAGGCAGAGGAAGGGAAGCCGGCCTCTGTGGTTGCAGCAGGAGAAGACGTTAGAGATAGTGATAGACCATTGCAGCAGCAGCTAGATGGTCAGAACCAAACAGTTCCATCTGCCACTGGGGTAAACAGTGACATTGTGAAGGCTTTGGACCGAATCACACTGCAGAATATTCCCACGCAGACAGCCCCAGGCTTGACTGCAGGAACAAAGAAAGACTGTGGTCTCCCACTTACTGTCCTTACATGCACCAAAGCATGTCCTCACATGGCTACTTGTGGGAATGTTCTGTTTGAGGGGCGGACAGTTCAGCTGGGGAAGTTCTGCTGTACTGGGGTTGAAACTGAAGAGGATGATGATACTGAGTCTAATTCATCAGTTGAACAAGCATCAGTTGAAGTACCTGATGGACCAACACTTCATGACTCAGACCTCTATATTGAGATTGTGAAAAACACAAAGTCAGTCCCAGAATATTCGGAGGTGGCCTACCCTGATTATTTTGGTCACATTCCACCTCCATTCAAAGAACCTATCCTAGAAAGGCCTTATGGTGTACAAAGGTGAGTTGCTGATTTCTTTGCACTTCTAAATAAAACCTTGCTAAAATACGAGACATACTTGTATAAAAGAATTACTTTGGGTGTTGAGGAAGAAAATTGTTCTGAAAGTTACTATGCTTTTGATACTTGCTTTGGAAATTTTGCCTTGTTTTGAAATTTATTTTCTAAGTTCATTGATTATGCAGAATAGTAAACATGATCCAGGGATAATTTTGGAAATTTTATATTTAGGCTAAATCTAAAATTATAAATGTGTACTTAGTAATCTTTGCATAAATATTACCTAGCAATATTTACATTGCAATTTATCATTTGAACTTGGTATAACCAGATAGGCTATAAGTAAAGCAATATTGAAAGTTTTTTAAAAATTTTAATTGAAAATATATAGTGTAAAACTTTGGGTTCTTTAAAAGCTGTAACTGCACTTATACTTTTTTTTTTTTTTTTTCTTTTTATCGTTACCACGGAACGAACTCACGACTGCCTGCTTGCAAGGCAGGTGCTTATGCTGCTGAGCTAAATCCCTAGCCCCAACTGCACTTATACCTAATAGACCAAGTAATATTATATACTACAAATAGGATTTAATATTGCCAACTAGTGAATATTTGGCATATTAAAACCATTTTTTGGTGTAATTGGGCTGTTTTTGGTGATTATAAATAAGATTTGTGAAAATAACTTCAGTTTCTTAAAAAAACCATTTGTATATTCTTACTGTGACTATGGTATTTAATGAAGAAGGAGGACATTACTGTGGGTACTTTATTCTCCTCAGATTATAAGCATCTTTAAGGCAGCAACTAATCTTACTCATTTATTGATAACGTCACTTTTACCTAGTGACTGAGTATGTGTTTAAATTGACTCCTTGATGCACAGGTGTGGACCCCACCACTGAGCTCAGACTGGGAAAGATGTGTGGGTGTGGGTCTGGCTGTGGTGCCTGAGTAGCAGCTGCAGGCCTCCTGGTACACTCCCAAAGGTACAGCTGAGACTCAACACAGGAGACCACTGTGTGGATGAGTTGCCATTGTGCAGGGCACAGGACACACACTGAGTTAGAAACTTAAGCATGAGCATGATGCCCAGGAGGGAGGTGGGAGAAGGTGGGGGACAGAAATGACTCTGCACTGCAGCTCCCATTGTATCACCAGGGGCTTTGTGCCTTGAGTCACTACAGCTCTTGGTCCTGTAGAATTAGAAATGCAGGGTCCCATAGTGAGTGCAATCTTAGCATATAGCAAGGGCACAATGTAGTCCGTGGTTGCCAAAAGGGTGCTTTATACTCCTTGTATAGGAGTAGGATCAGAAAGTGGGAAGAAGAACTTGACACAATGGCAGCAGGTCTCAGGCCATCTGCTTTTTTGCCTCTCGCACTATTCCCTTACTTAGTTTTAACTATGAATAGACATGTCACAGCCACCCTGGTGGGAGAATGGTACGAGTTGCTTACCTCTCTTAGGAGTGAGAGTTTGGACCACTTAATTAGATAAGCTAGCAAGACCTGCCAGGGCAATAGCTGGTGGTGAAGGGGATTTAGATAGATGCTGGAAGATGGAGATGGAGACCTATAGCCCTGAGAACAATTAAAGCAATAGGGATGGAGTCTGTCCTCCTGTTTTTCTTCCAAATTCTCCCCTAGGAGAGGCCCTCAAGCACTGTAGAGAAACCTATTTTCAAGTATGGGTAGAATAGTGGACCTGTGCAGTGCACGTGGCTTTAGTGGCTACAGTGGTGAGCTGTCCCGTCTTTCTTTCTCTGACAGTATGCTGTGAGGTGTGTGGTGCTCATAGCCCTTAGCTCCATGCCTTTGGGATCTGTTGCAGCACTTACACCGAGGCTGTGCCCTCTCCTCTTTGGTGATGCCAGCCAGTGGCTCAGGATGGTGGGGACGCTAGAGTGGAGTCTCTCCTCACCAACACAAGGGTCTGCTCATGGGCATTATTCGCTCTGGGCTCCCTTATCAGTGTGGTGAGTCTTCTGCTGACCTGCACTTGTCTTTTCCTAGCTGTCGGATCTGGGCTTATCTGCAGGCCATCCTTACCTCCTCTTTGTTCTTCACCTATTCTCCTTTGGAGCTCTCTGAACATGTCACTGTTTTGGGGGACCCAAGTGGACACCCCTGGAGTGAGTCAAGAGTCAGGCCACACCTTAGTCTCGTCCTTTTCAGCACCACCTCTTAGGTCTGTCTCTCTGGAGTCCAAAATGTCTTCTCTACTACAGGTGGTACTTTCTGAGTTTTAAGTACTTTTTAAACTATGAAAGGAAGTCTGTTTAAATGGCCTCCAACTGAAAGTATTCTGAATGCCTGAGGTAAGGTTATAAGGAAGATTGTGGAATAGAAGTGTAAGTATAGTACAAGCTGTGATTCTCAGCCTTAAGTTTAAAGGCCTAAGATCCTTCTTTTTTTTCTCTTGTGGGTCTTGTGTTAGAAGAGCTTTCAGCAATCAACTCTCTTGTTTAAGTGTGTTACTCACTTACATTAATAAGGGATATATTTTTAAAATGTTTTCTGGTTGCAGATCAATGTAAGATGGCCACAAATAGCTGTTGTACCTTCTGTGAATCCCAGAAGTGCCTCTCCCACCAGGGGGGAACTACCACACTCAGTTTTAGTGCTGCTGTCCTCTTTGAGCAGCTGTTTCTGACGCTGGGCTCTGTGGGCATGTTAGAGAATATTGTTCTATATGTGGTCTCAGTTTTTACTTTTCTGTGCCCAATACTTGGCCTGTTCTGATGGTGGAGGAATTTACAGAGGCTTAGAGTTACTGCAGCTCTTCTCAAGTGGCTCTCCATTTTCTTAGCACTTGTGATGAGTTCTCTCGCCTTGTTTCTGAACATTGGCCTCAGAATTGCCTTGCAAATCAGATCTACATTTAGAGTCTAAACTGTTGAAGTATTAAGCCATCTGTAGAACTTTTTCCTGAAGAAGCTTACATTTTTCAGTCCTTGTGAACACAACGAAATATGCCACTGGTATGGCTTATATTCAAGCCAAAGCTTTAAGATCTGTTTTTTATACTGTGAATAAGTAGAATGAAGAAAGATCAAAAGATTGATGAGAATTGTGTTTTAAAGGTACCTTTGTTGGTATGAAGTTAAAATACAAAGGAGATAGACTTAAAGTGAGCATGAACAGTAGACCCAGTCATTAGAAAGTCTGTTACCTATGTTTTTGCTCCTGGAAGATTTGCCATTAGAAAAATGGGATTGGGCTCAAAGAGACCTTTGAGGTTACTGAATCTTGGCTTACCAGAAGTTTCAAAGATTTCTGTTCCTGCAGAGGTTTTTCTTATTGTTTTCAGGGCCTTGAGGACAGTGTTATTTTGCTTTCTAATTTGTTGTTGCAGAAATGAGTAGTAACCTCTGAAGCCACCTAACCCCTTTTCTCTGAGCATCATGGATGCTGTGTGGCAATGACTGCTGACAGGTTGGCTGATTTGTATATTCTGTTAGAGTATGCACTACATACTTGTGTCACATTTATCTCAGTTTCTTCAGCAGCAGAGGTTGGTGATATGAGGCAGGAACATCATATTTCTTTTTTTTTTAATTTTATTTAAAAGGAAAAAGAGAAAAAACAAAACAAAACAAAGCAGTGTAAGGGTACAATTAATACAGAACTACAAAAAAAAAAACAGTAAGAAATCACCAGTTAATAGATTACAATTATCATCTTAGAGACAGTTGCTCAAGTCACAGTATCAAACATACAAAGTGGACATTCAAACAGTGAGACTGCAAACAGTTGTGTTCAATGATCCAACCAAAAACATTAATATGGGCATCTATTTAACACCCCTAAACATATTTGCAGTTGTATACTTTAGAGCACTTTTTTTTCTTCGCTTTTTTACAACAAAATTTACACATTTTGGATTTTATTACTCCTAAGTTCTTATTACATTTTTTTGGAAGAGAATAAAGTCAAATATGGCAAAACAAAGCTGTCAGTCAAAACCAAGGATAGACATAGCACATGATGTAAAAACAGAGTACAAGGTTATTGACAATGGTTACTATAATGCCTCTTGTTTCCTTAAAATGAATTGTCTATCTCATTAGGTATTATAAAGTTGAACAAAACAGTAGAGAACAGGACTTCCAAAGAAGATAATAGTCAAACCAGAATGGGTGTCATAGTGAATCTTATTGCCTTCAAAGTAGTTGCCTATACCTTTAAAATTGATACTGTCATACAGAACAGAACAGAGTCTAATCAGTCAAAACAAGTTAGTGGGAGTATTACAGAACTTCAAATCAAGTTAACAGGAAATCAAATAAGTTACTATAATATATCTTGCTAATTTTTTTGATTGTTCCCGTTAATTAAAAAAATCATAAAAAATAACTAAATAATTTTTTTAATGAATAAGGAAGAGATTGAGATAAAAGAGGACATAACATCATAACAGTACCGGTCAAAGCATGATAGTTTCAGCAACCTAGTGCTTCACCACCAAATAACCCGGTTTAATAGTAGTTACCATAGTGTCTTTTTCCTTGAAATATTTGAATATAACTTCATATACTATAGCTTCAAACATATCAAGTCAGTGTAAAACTATTCAAGTGGATGAAAGCATTGTAGGGTTTTTAGAACCAAATAACAGAAAATAAACAATGGTTTCTATATTATCTCTTTGCCTATAACAATTTTTGTTTATACTATCACATATAATAAAATCCAGCAAGATACATCATGATAAAACCAATGGAGACAAAAGAGCCATAGTTTGGTGGTTCTTCAAAACAAGATGATAGTAAATCAGCACTAGCATTATGATGACTTATTTTCTTCAAAATAGCTATTCATTTCATCACAGGCAATAATATCAAGCAGCCCAGAATAAAGCCTTTCCAACTGATAAGTGAAAACTTTATAAGGCTTCAAGGCCACATAATGGAGAATCATGATTACCACACATTTTTATATATTTGAACCATTACTTACATTAGGGAAACTATTTGGTATTCACACATGCGAGATTGAT